ATTGAGTTATTAAGGATTTTATACTGGTGAATTTTTAGTTAAATTTTGTGTAAGTGATTGACAGAAAGAGTTTTTTTTTTTATAGATATTACTATTAATATAAATAACAAATTTTTTATAAGTAAAATTTCTGTGATAATATCTTTAACCAATAGAAATTCCAGAAATAATTTATGTGATCACCATTTTCAAGTGATGATCATCTAATAGTAAGTCTCATTTTAAAGTAACAGTGCACGTTTATTTTTTCAAAAATCGCTTATTTCTTAAACACTTGCTTAATAAACTATATTTTGTTTCTAAAAAAATTCCTTAAGCAATTTTACTATATTCCTGTTAACACTTAGCCCTATTATAAACTCTAATCATATAACTCTTAAAAAAGCTAATGCTAAATAAAACTTCCAATCTAATATACATAAACAGAATCATAAAATAGTTCTTTTTTATTATATTCTAACAAATATTGCATTTTATGTTGTAGGAAATGTTAACTAGAGATGTAAAAAGTCTCGACACCACTCCAAAAGTTAAGTCTTTGTTAAATTCTTGGTATCAAGCAAACTTGAGACTTTGACTTACATCTGTATATTCATTTAGCATATTTAGATATAATATAAAAATATGTATTCATGCATGCTTTATATACATTCACATTTTCTAAATATACTAGATGCATATACAGATGTAGGCTGAAGTCCCAAGTCTTCTTGGGACTGAGCATTTAACAAAAACTCAACTTTTGGAGTCAAGTTAGAACTGGACCAAACTTTTCACTCTAATGTTAATATTATACATCTAATTCCACACATATAACAATAATACTTCCTTCTGTTCTATAGCACAACAGCTAAAAAGTCAATGTTAGCTTTTTTAATAAAATAAAAAAAATGTCTCAGTGTAGTAGAAAGAATAATCAATTTATTAGTAAAGCAGAAAAAAGAAATTCTCTGCTAATTTTTTTAATAATAAAAAAATGCCTTATATGTACTTTTTCCAATTCCAATTTCACAATCTTAACAATATCCAACATTATATTTCTTTCAGCATGCTCCATATCAGCACTTTAGATAATAAATAAATGCTTTATGTTCATCTTTTTCAATGCCAGTTTCATATAAAATAACATTTTTTAAACATTATATGTTCACAAGTATCCACATCTCTGATTTTTGATGTTTTATATTCATTTTTTTTCGTGCCAGTTTTATTAAAATAAAAACTTCCAAACATCATATGTTCTACAAGCATACCATATTCAAATCTTTTTCAATTACAATTCTATTGTTATATATAACAGTCACCAAGTATGAATATTCTTCTACTATTACCAAATTCAATTATGTTAAATATATATAAGTATATGTATCCATATGCCTATATGTATACACAATATTGCCCAGTAGTATTTTCTTGCAGACTCTTCATAATTGAAGCTACGAGAATCTATTCATTATATGAAATCAACTAAAACAGCATGGGTTAATAACAATGTACAATAAGAAAGGTGAATATGCAATACTTATCAGTATATTTGCAGAAAAAACCCCAAAAGTGTATAATATTAGGATGATATTTTATATAAGAATAAGAGGATAAGATTGTTATATCAAAGGATGCTACAAAAATAGAACATTACTTTAATAAAAAGCCCATACAATAGTAAAGACAATATCTAATACAATGATAAAAATAGCTCAAAACACAATAGTAAAAGTGGCTCAAAACATAATAGTAAAGGCAGCTTAAAACATAATAGTAAAGGTAAGTCAAAACACAATAATAAAAATGACAACCAACACAATAATAAAGGCATGTATGAAAGTGTGTTATAAAAAAGTTTTTTTTTTTAAAAAAAAATAAAGAACTTATGATTATTTAAATAAAAGTTATAAAATTATACCTCCACTACAAATATCCAAATAATAAAAATTGTAAAATTACAAAAAAAAATAGTAGTTTGTAACAGTAAAAAAAAATGAATAAGGAATTAAGACAGCTGTGAAAGAAATATACAACTCTTTTAATAAAAACCAAACAAGAAATATGTCAATGTAAACAAAAAATTCATCTATTAGTATTGATTAACTTGCTGAAGAATATAGTTGTGATCAGAATACAATTTCAACATTTGAAAGAAAGTGAAAAGTGGTTGTCCATGCAACTAGCAAAAGCTGAAGAAAATAAAGTTTGTGAAGTTAGAAACTGCCTTATATATTTGGATATGACAGATTCTTTCGCAAAACAGAATAATAACTAATGGAATTCTACAAATTCAAGCTAAAAAATTTGCAAAATTATTAAATATCAGTAAAAAAGATTTTAAAGCAAATACAGGTTGGTTAGATAGGTTTAAAAAATAGAATGATATTTGAAGATTCAAGATTCAAGGAGAATCTGAAAGTATGGCCACTGCAAACCTTCCTGAATATAGACAAAATTGGTTGAATTATTCTCACAATACCAGCTAGAAGATGTCTATAATGCAGATAAAACTAGCCTCTATTATAGTTGGGTTTATATAAATTACAATTTTATTTTTTTTTTATTTTTTATTTTTTTGGTTTTAAGGTGACCTCTTGGTCGCTATCCTTTTATTCGATTATTGTTAACTTTTACAGTATGGTATACACCATATTGTACACATATTTGGAAAGTACAACTAGCCACATTTGCAACTTTTGGTTGCCTATTTAAGTAGACCCTATTACTAAGTCCTACACTAGCTGCCGTATCTATAACCCTACCAAGTTACTCATTTAAACTCTCTGCGTCTATATACATTAATCTTCTAACTAAGCGAGAATACATTAGTACCCCCTTATTTTCGGATCCCTGACTTAGGACTTTAAGACAGACCCACCTATAGAGGTCCTTTGTCCTTAAGATAAACCTGCTAGAGCCTTCCATACCCACATTTAGGCTGACCTAGGCTTCAGTAACTTATGCCGAGTCTGAGGACAAGTACTTGCGAGCCAAAGCTGCTACCATTACCTACTTCTCTCTTATAAAGTTCACTCTACCCTATCCCTTACTCATCTAATCAAAAACCCTTCTACTATTTTACCAAACTTCTAATCCAGATAGCCTGGTTTGGTTCACAAATTACGTTACCCACCTTCCTACTGGCTTAACCCAGATACTGGCCTGTGCCCTTTTCCTCCAGTCGATTCTGGTGGCCTGGTTGGTATAGTGCTCACCAAACACCTGGTCCTTGTTTAAATCCACAGCTTATTGGTTTTCTTCTCAAACTTTCCAGAGCCGTCGAAAGTAGTGCTACCTCTCTACTCAGAACTTGCCAAGCGGATTTCTATTCAGGACAATGTCCAACAGATTTACACAGATCCTGAGGATTTCATGGGTTTACACCACCTTTTATCGGTTTGTATCCCTTCATATAACTTCTCTATTACACAAATGCCCCAAGATCTTTCAAGTCTGTACTACTACTCCTGATTAGAGCTTATGAGATAAGCCATCCGTTAGGTGATCATTACCTCTTGCACCTATTTGGTCTGACCATTGTTACAAGATCTACATCCCAACATCCGAATAGTCATCAATGCACAGAAGAATTTGATTTTTTGTCGTCGTCGATAGGAATTTAACTCTGGATGTGCCACTTGGAAGAACAACAACTTGACCACTTCACTAAGTTGCCACACCTCTAAATTACAATTTTACAATACATATAATTTTATATAAGTTTTAATAAATTAGATTTCATATAATTTACATCACATTATATGTAAAAAATGTCAGCTTTACAAAAGTTTAGTTAGCATTATTTGCATTATTTGGTTTAAATAATGATCTGAATTGTAACTTTTTAATCATCAAACTTTGATCTCAGAAATTTATAAAGTGTTCAAAATTACATGAAAACTAATTTCAAAAAGAAAATTCTATTTCACTTAGATAAAATTACTTGCTAAACTCCAGGTGATTTTAACTTGTGTAAAATAAAATTTCACTTACAAAAACTTACTCAAAATTACGTAAATTGCAGAAATTACTGTAATTTTAATATCTAATTATAGAATGCTGCCTAATCAAATACTGGTAACAAAACCTGTTAAAGGAAAAAAAAATAAGGAAAGAACAACCATTCTATTATGTATAAATGGAGGCAGCCAGGGCGGCCCCCTAAAAGTGCTGGTAATATAAGATCAATTAATGCAACTTATTGGTTCTTTTCTAACTGCATATTTTTTTTTCTGTAAGATAGTAATTGTTCATATATATAGTGGCTGTGCTATGATTACGTCACTGGCACTTTGGGGGGCCGCCCTGGCTGCCTTGGACAAATGCAACTGAAACAGATAAACTCAAACTATTAGTTATCAAAAAGTTACTAAAACTATAATATTTCAAAAAAATTCAGATGAAAAATCTTTGTATAAAATATAATACTAGTAAAAAAGCATGGATAGCAGATGATATTTTTGAGCATTAGATTAAATCTCTAAATGTTGTATATCAGCTGAACCATAGAAAAATTCTTTTGCTAATCGATAGTGCTTCATTACATCCAGAAAGTTATGAATCTTCTTACCTTATATGACATCTTGTTTGCAACCATGTAATGCTAGAATTACCAATTTGTTTAAAGCTCACTATCAAAAATTATTTCTTTAAAATCTAGTAGATGCTCTTAATAATGAAGAAGAAATACCTAAACTTAATATCTTAGATGCAATCAAATTTATTACATATAAGGATATTAAAATTATAATTATTTTGAATAAGTTTCGTAAATTAGCTTTTCATATAATTTGCAACTACAATTTGGATCATATATTTAAATCAAATAATACAAGAATGCTGGCTGAACTTTTTAAAGCTAGTATTTTATAATAAAAATTATATGAAATCTAATTTACTGAAACTTATATAAAATTATATATACTATAAAATTGTAATTTATATAATACAGCTCTAATTACAAAAACATAGGATAACATAACCCCTCAGACAATTATTAACTGCTAAAAAAACCAAAATAGTACTGATAAATAAGTAGAATTGGTCAAGTTTGAATGTGACAAATAGAATTAGAAATGAAATTGAAGTTGATATTAAAATGGTAAATGAAACTGAAGTTGAAGAAGTTGAAGAAACCAAAGTCGATAAAGATGAAGCCGAAGAAGCTAAAGTTAAAGAAGCTGAAGTTAAAGAAGCTGAAATCAATGTTAAGAAGAGGTTGAACAACTTATTTTTAAAATTCTCTCTTATCTTATATGAGTAATGGCTGCTAGTGATTATATCCAGATTGATAATAATCTTAAAACAGAAGAAGTTACTATTAATAAAGCTGCAATTATCAAAGAAATTTGCTATCAGTCTGATTTAAGTAATAATAATAAGGATAGTAATGTTGAAATTGAGACAATTTCTTATTCTGTCACTTTGAATAAATGCAAATCACTTATATTATAGTAGAACAACAGGACCCTATAAAATTTGTAGAAGACCAAGATCTACCAGTATTATGAAACTTGCTAAAACAAACTTGACTAAGTGCATTTCAATCAAAGAACCAAAAAAAGTTAACTAAGTTTTTCTAAGGTATTGGTTATGGAAAAGATAAGTTAGTTCAAGGTTACAAAGGAAATTGACAACTAGGTATATAGTTATAGAAGGACATGTCACAATTCTTTTTTTTTTGTTTTATTCTTTTTCTTGGATATTGTTATATGATATCCTATGCATTTTGTGTACCTTCCTCTATATCTAAAAATTTTGGCTATGAAACCACCTGTAGGGGTATTAAGCAAAAAGATTTTTGTTAAAATTTTATTCTAAACTATATTATATTCAAATCTCTAGCCTTTACCCTTACCTTCATATTAATTTCAGATAAATTATTAGAAGTACAAAGTGCATAGAAGCACCATTTAACCTTTTTCTTTTTTTTTATATTTGCTGCTCTTCCATTATCTATATTTTATGATAATAAAGAGATAAAGTAAACACATATTACACTTATTGATTTATAAAATATATAGTATTTGTTTATTTTCCTTGTTCTTATAAGCCAGTTAATGAAAAAAAAAGAATACAAATTATGAATTAGCATTAGGAGAATGAACTCTTTCCGTCAATCACTTACACAAAACTTAACTAAAAATTCGCCAGTATAAAATCCTTAATAACTCAATATTTT